CCCTCTGCTCCCCCCACCCCGACGCTGTGCCAGCACTTGACCTCCAAGCACTTGTGCCTGGATCTGTCTTAGCCCCTCCTCTCGCTCTTATCTCTCTGGAAGCCCCTGCCCAGCTCTTTCTCGGGCTGCTGTCATCTCAGTGTTTTCAGCCTCCCGTCTCCTGTTGCGGGCCCAGTGGGCCTCCGCACAGCACAGCCGTCATCACTGCGAGACACTCCACCTGCTTCCCCCTAGTCACGACCTCTGAGGAGCAGCAGCCCCTCTCCTTGTTCAGTGCCTTCCCCAGTGGGTCCAGGGCATTTTTTGTTTTTTTAGTCCAGGGTCTACAGGGTCTCACTACACAGACTGGCCTCGTAGTGATCCTCCTGTTTTCAGCCTCCCAAGTGCTGGGATTACAGGTGCGTGCCACCACGCCCAGTCTCAGTCACAGTCTCAGTATGTTCCAGGGGTGGGGCCAGCATGGCATGTGGGGCTGGGGATTGAACCCTGGTCCCCGAGCTTTGCCTAAGCAGGTGCTTTAGTTCGCTGAGCTATCTGGTCAGCCCTGCCAGTATATCTTTCTAAGTGAGATAAAACCAGCAAGGATTCCATGGCTGCTACTTCCGTTGTCCTGCATGCTGGCTCTGGCATGGTGGAGATACATAGACACCCCTTAAAGGGAGGCCCGATGGGGCAGGGGATGGCAGGGGACAGCGGTGCAGCTATCGGCAGCTGTCAGGTAGACATTCGTGTACAGAGAGGGGCAGGCCAACAAGGAAGTCAGTGAAAAATAAAGACACCAGGACCGTGGCTGGAGGCATCTGAAGCCAGGCCTCGAGGCGCAGGTGCAGTGGCCAGGCTCACGTGCTCCCGAAGGCCTAAGCAGCAACTTGGGCTTGTGCTGTAAGTAGCACCACCTGGACCAGGAGCTCCAGATGGCGTCAGGCGCCAGGTGGGTGACCAGCGCTCGGCACCCAGCCCTCCCCTGCACTGCCGCTCTCCCCTATACCCTTGCTGCGTGACCTGCAGCCTGGTGGGTCGTCGACCTTAGCTCAGCAGCTGTCCTCGTAATCCTACAGGTGACCACAGTTTGAACCATGTTGTACCTGCAGTGTGACTGTGCTGTACCTGACAAAGGGCCGTGGTGGCTACTCACTTTGGGGACCACAGCTGTCTCTCAGGACCTCTCCTACCCTTAACCTTCTCTGTCCTTTGGAATTTACTCTTTGATTTTAGGGGCGGTGAACCGGCATATCTGACAATTAGCAGGTTGGCAGCTCTGTTTCCCCACCTGGAGTCCCACCAGCTTGCATGCAGCCCCATGGCCGCAGGCATATCACTTTTGGGGCACTCTCTTTCCATGGTGCCAGATGGATGGGGTGCACTTGGAGCCAACGGTACCCACTGGGAAGCACCTTGGCAAGACAGGAATCGCTGGCCACCTGTGACCTGGGTGAGCGGGGGCTCAGGTGGTGTGGACTCTCCTGCTGAGGGACAGGGACCCACTGGGGGGCAGCTGACTCTCCGCAGGAGCTGACCCTGGACAGGGGTGTAGCACCCCAGCTCTCGTGGGGCAGGACAGCATGAGCACAGCCAGGCCCTGTCTGGCTTAACTCCCAGGTCCGTGGCTCTCTTGCCTGTGGACTTGGCCAAAGTACTGAACTTTTCTTTCTAATCTCCACCGCTATATGAATGGAAGCGATGAACAGACGCTGGCTAACGGCACCCTGAGATTCTGTCTCTAACCGTTCGTTCCCTGGTGCAGCACACCGCCAGCAGCCCTGATAGCCCGAATTTTCGTCCTCCAGGGTAATTGTTTTCACCAGCTAGCAATTTTATTATCTAGCTGAGAGTTTTGGTGAGCCAGGCACAACTTGATCTTACCTTTTCCTTGACATTCACATGAGTATTGAGTTCAGCCATCTCGCATCTGGGGGAATAAGCCCTAGAAGAAGCGGGGAGAGATTAAGGTGTTAAAACTGATTTCTCAATGTGTTATATATGTATTTTTCATTCATGTATTGGGTGCAGGGTCTCACTCTGCAGCTCGGACTCCTGGAGGTCCTCCTGTCTTCAGCCTCCCGACGCGGGGTTATAGCCGTGCGCCACCACACCCGGACCTCAGGGGTTATTTTTATGCTTTCTCCCAACACAGCAAACAGTTTGATTCAGTCATGAGCGCAGATACCTCCAGGCTAAGCATCTGCTTAGGCGTGTTCTAAAGGCACATTATGACTCTCTAGAAGACAACGCAAAAATCTCTTCTTCATACGGTACTGACATGAAGACTGCCAAGACCGGCGGGCGCGGCCCCGGACTGTGTTTCTTCTCAGTATGTAAAAAAGAATAGCAGTTAGAAACAGCCAGGGGAGGCACTGGACCTATTCAGCTTGGCGTTTTCATCGCCCTCCTCACTGTCCCAAAGCTGCTCTCAGCCCAAGCGTCTCTTGCAAGTGCATAACCAGCAAGCTCTGCAGGGAGAAGCGGGACGGGCTCCGGGGGAAGCCTCAGAACACGTGGTCCTTTCGCTCTCCCGGAGAGTGCAGACCTCACGTCTCAGCAGGGCTGGGCATTCCTGGGCTCCTCATCTCAGCCACAGTTACCTCTGCCCAGAGAGGGCTTCCCGAGTGAGCGAGTGAGAGCTGCCGCCTTCTGCCCGCCGCCCTCTCCCGGGACAGGATAGCTTTAACCTTGCTCTTCGCCCTAAGGCAGGCTTCTGGATCAACGCATGACCTCCAGCTGCCCGCGGGCCCTAAGCACCGTCCAGCGCTTCTGCTCCGCTAAGTCCTCTCCCTGCCTGCCTCTGCTGGCCCATCTCTATGGATGGCTGGCCCTGAGATCTACATTTCTAACATCAAGCTGTGTTGTTTTCATTTCTCTCATCTGGTCAAAGTCTTTCACAATTACTATGGAAAGCAAATCTAAAGTCTGGTTTTTTTTTTTTTTTTTTAAATGTTTTTGGTGCAGGGTCTGCAGGGTCTTACTATGTAGATTGGACTCATAGTGATTCTCCTGTTTTCAGCCTCCCAAGAGCTGAAGGTATTACAGGCACATGCCGCCACGCTCAGTCTCAATCCCATGTCAGCGTGCCCCAGGGGCGGGGCCAGCCCGGCAGGCCTGGGGATGGAACCCCAGCCACTGCGCTTGCCTACACAGGTGCTTTAGTCTGTTGAGCTATCTGGCTGGCCCTACAAATCTTAAGTCTTTAATAGTTTCAGTTTTGGGTTTTTTTTTTTGGCGGAACCAGGCATTGAACTCAGATCCTTGTGCTTGCTAGGGAAGCGCTTATTCCACTGAGCCATCACCCGGCCCCAGTTTCAGTATTTTTTAATAATTAAGTTTGTCGATACAATTTACACGTTCACAGTGGGCGTGGCTACAAGGACCGCACTCACACACAAGGTACCCTAGTTCCTCTTCTCCCCTCTTCCCTCCCTTCTCCTCAACACCTCTTTCTCACGAAGCTTTGCCTCCATTTTACGCGTGCATGTCACATCGCTTCTCTGGCCTGAGGAGCTGAAAGTATGACGTATAGTACATACAGTGAAATAGTAAGCAATCAAAGGAAAGGGGAGCTGGGGGTGAGAGAGAAGACGCAATGGGAACAGAAGCTAAAGCTTCAGCATAAATGACTGAGGCGCACGACCGCACTGGCTCAGAAGGCAGCAGCAAGCGGGCCCAGGTGTCAGCACCACCACCTACTTGCGTGGCGTGTGCTTTTGTCAACCAAGGACTGCTGGGACTTTCTTGCATTTTGACTGTTGCAAAGTGTTCCCTGTTCTAGGGGCGACGCATGTCAGGGACAACCTGCAAATTCTCTGGCTTCTCCCCCTCCACTGCCTTTCAAACCTGTCTTAAATACAGCCTAAATCCAGGCCCATTATCGCTTGCTAATTTTAGGACAGAAGCTCGACAGCCGCGACGCCAACTCTATGATCACTCCACTGATGCTCGCGTGGCACGCCACAGAGAATGCTATCAAATACTAGAAGCATAAGGGCTTATTTTTAGAAATTTCCAAATGGCACTGCCACTGCCACGTGGGTGATCCAGGAGAGACGCGACCTGCCCGGGCCCGTGGGGCTCTTTCCGCATGCTCACAGAGGCCACGCCCTTGAGGGCAGGTCCTAACGCTTCCGAGTGGCACTGTGTGTTCTGTGCCGTGGCGCGTGGGACAAAGTCAATACCTGCATTTCGTTCCCAGGTGCTGCGCACCCAAAAGCTGCTAGAAAGAAGAGGAGGCTCCCTTCCAGTTGTGTCTAACAGAACAGGGATGGTGCGCGGGGCCTAAGAACAACCAGGTGTTTCCGGTAACAGCGCTCACAGTGACCACAAGATGGCCTGCAATCCCATCTTGTGGCTCTGTGGTGGCTTTTTAAAAAAAATTGTTTTATTTCGTTTAGGACCGTATCACACAAGCTGTACACACACGCATTTTCCAGTGCACCTGCGTGACCACAGGAATGAAATGTGACAGCTGACCAGGTACCACGGGCTAGGGCCATGGACCACAAAGTCTTTCCCTCAACTGCCCCGCCCTTCTGGACACACTTAATGTTGCCATTAGGGCCATGTGAGACCCGACAGGAAAGCACTTGAGCAGGGACGTGCGGATCTGGGTGTGCAGCGCCTTCCTAAGCTGACGTGTTGCCTTCCACAGAGGCGGCAGGGAGGGCTCCACAGAGAGGCATTCTGAGATCTGAGAAGATGGCATGGTCGATGGTATGCTACATTCATAGGACAAAAGGTGTGTGCACCCACACGTGCACGTGCTCACACACGCATGCATGCACCCACACTTGTACACCCTCACGAGTGCACACACAGTGCATACATGTGTGGGCACACATGCACACCCCACAATGCATGCGCACACCCCCCATGCACACACACCCACCCACCTACCCCTTGGGCACCTCCCTATCTCTTTGACCTGAAAGTCTAGCTCACAGAGGACTCTTCTTTGGTACTGATGATAGGATTAACACCATAGTTGTGTGTGTGTGTGTGTGTGTGTGTGTGTGTGTGTAAGGAAAATGCAGGCTATAGGACAATAGGGCCACTATAGGATTCTCAGATGTAAGGATAAGATAAAAATAATTGCAGGTGCTGTTGTCTCTCATTTTATGCTCTGAACTCTTTTCTTCTTTTTCCCAATGTGGAGGGTGGGGTCTACCTTCCACAAGGATCCAGTGTCTTGTCCACATCACGGCACTCCATAGTCAGGGTATATAGCAAGGGCTGGGAAGTTGGTTATGGCTCCAGTTATGAAAGCTAACTAAAAGTTTCAATTGAAACAGATTATAAATCTGGCATGCCTTTCAAAATTAAAGGTTTAAGGAGCTATTTTCAGCTGGGTTCTACCGACAAGGCCACCTGCTCTGGAAACTGTGGGGCTTGAAGGGAACGGCACGTGCCGCGTCCTCCCCGCGTGGCCCCTGCTCGGTCCTGGGCCCCCTGCGGTTCAGAAGCACGTCTCGGCCTGTGTGGCTGCACTCGCTCCCTACCTCCACAGCAGACGCTGTCCTCCCTGCTAGGAACACAGACCTGTGGGTGCCCCGAGCTTGCGGGTCTGTTTTCTGCAGCGACCCCCCCGTAACTCGCCAGCCCCTCTGCCTAACCTGAATCACAGTGGTTTACTCTAGGCAGGTAGAAACTTCCTCCAGGAAACACCTGTGCACCTCCCCCTTGTAAGCAGACGCTGGCCTGGCAGCTGGGCCCAGCCTCCCGCCGCAACTGCCCCGCGAGCCCAAGGAGCGCCCAGCACTGCGCGCTCTCAGCCTTGGTGGGTGGCTGGTGGCGGGGCAGTGGCCATCCAGCGCCCTCGATCAGCTCCACCCCAGAGCTGGTGCCGCCCGCTGCGGCTGCCCCTGGGCTCATTCCTCAGTGCCGCTCAGCTGCGGAGCCTCGGGTCTGCAGGAGAGCGCGGGAGGGCCTGGCTGCTGACCGTTTCTGTCAGGTGCGTCCACTCTCGGGGCAGGTCAGTTTCTGAGGACTACGGCCGGTCACAGTCGAGACAGGCTGTGTTGCGATGGTGTGTGTGACACAGCCCCCGAGTCACGGACCACCCCGCCAGGCACGCAAATACACAGGGCTTGTGACACTGACAAGCATGCCCTCCCACGGGTTTCCTGGCGTGCAACACTGACACCCGGCTCTGCTCAAATCTACGCGTGTGTCCTCCAGGCAAATCCGTTAATCAATGCAGAATCCAGATACCCAGAAATATAAGTGAAATACAACATTTCAAACATTTTGATATTGCTTTAAGTTTTTTTCCTTAAAATTGCTATTAGATTTCAGTAATTGCATTACAAAAATATTTGGGTATATTTTTACATAATTTTAGACACATTTTTACATGTGTTTTAGAGGAAAATAAAGACCAAGAAAATTGTTGAAACTTATGAGAAAGAGACACCATAAAGCAACCACTTCACTATATCATCTCTATCCTTCTCCAGAATAACGTTAATAAAACACACCATGGTCACCACCAAGGCCTTAGACCACAAAGTTACATCACACACTGAGCTCCACATTGAACAAAGGTGTTATGTATTGTGCATTAATATCTGCTAAACCACTGACCAGCTGAGAAGCAAAGGCAAACACTTTTTATGAAAAATAAACCTGAATGGTAGAAGTATGTTTGCGTTAGCACTTGTAATTTGTACAGTTCAAGATGTTTGGTGTCAAACTGCTTGATGGTCCAACCCCAGGTGTAGGCGGGGCACCTGCTTCTCTCCAGAGATCTCACAGCCTGCTGCTGAGGAAGCCGGAATAAATTTTCACTTTTGTTTCTCTGAAACCTACTCCTACTTTTAGGTCACTTTTCTGTTCTCAGGGATTAATTGTATCACTCTGCTTGTGTTGGCTCTAGGGAGCCAAAGAAAAGACAAAAGAAAAACTTCAGAATAAAAATTGTATCAATTTTTTGAGGCCATTTATGTACATTTACCCCATGATTTGTAAAAATATAAAAGTCATACTGCATATTTGGGGTTAACAGATTGCTTAACAAATCATCATACTGTGACCCAAGTAATGAGCAACTTTTGCTTAGAGAGTGCCAGAGATGGTGCTTGTCTTTTTGGCTAATCCTTGAAATCCAGTGAGGAGCTTCAAAAGAGGTTTCTGGGGCCCCCATGCCAATTGTGGGGCATGTGTGCACGCACGTGTGTGTGTGTGTGTGTGTGTGTGTGCGTGAGATGGGAAACAGCAACACTTTAGGTCATTTTCATGTAAAACTACCCTGAACTGGAACAACCTGGAAGTGTGAAACACACACAGATTTTATGGGCTCAGAACAACAAAAGAAGGCAGATGCATTAAGGCCACATTAATTATGTGTTGAAATGATGGTACTTGATAGATTTGGTAAAACGAAATAGAATATTGAAACTAACTTCACCCATTTCATTTTACTTTAAACGTGAGCCCAGACACCTCACCATGCAGGTGTCCCATGACACCTGTGTTGGACAGCACTGTCCCCGGGCAGTGGGCCAGGAGTGGCCCCCAAGAGCGGCCTTACTGCTAGGAGCAGGGGTGGGCACAGCCACAGCGCCCGTCAGCCACACAGGGCAGGAGACACACACTCCCACACTTGCCAAACCGGGGACACTGGGTCCACCCTGGGCCCCAGAGACCCAGCCAGTCCCTACACACCACAGGCTCCTCCAGAAGCCAGGAAGGGCAGACGGGTCAGCTTCTGACCGCCCCACATCGAACGCCCTGTGGCCAGCCTGTTACACACGGTGACTGTAACTTGTGCCTGGTACTGCGGGAGTGGCAAACACGCCTCTGCTCACTTCACCCTCCCAGTCTTAAGAAGAAGACACAGTGAGTGTCCCCATTTTCTACACACGAAAACTGAGGAACAGAAGGACTGAATAATAACTCAAGGTGCCCCAGGAGTGGCAGAGCCAGGACCCAATCCAGGAAGGCTGACTCGGAACCTGCAGCACTGGGCAGATGGCAGAGCCGTCCTGACTGAGTCCTGCGCTAACTCGGGTCTGGATGCAGTGGAAGCACACTAAGGGCTCCGCCTCCGCG